GGGACACCGCACGCCCAGGGCCACGCGCAGACACGGCCACGGGGGGGACACCGCACGCCCAGGGCCACGCGCAGACACGGCCACGGGGAGGACACCGCACGCCCAGGGACACGCACAATACTAACAAGGTCGATGCCACCCAATTCCAGGACAGGGAGAACCGGCAGCTCTCCTGCCGCCTGTGGGAGTCTAACGGTGCCGCGGCGGTAGCAGCCCGCCTGGTGTGTTCTCGTCGGGTGACAACCGTGCTCCGGGACCCGGCACTTTCATGAAAACACACCCAGACGGAAGCCAGCTCAGGACAGCTTTACTCACAGCAGCCCAAACCCGGAAACCACCCAGATGGCCCTGTGCGCAAGAAGGGATAAACCAACTCGTGGGCTGGCGGCAAAGGGACTGCCAAGTGGTAACAAAGAGCACAGCCACGGGTCACCTCAGAGAGAAGGTGCCTGAGCAAGGACCCGGGCGGGAAAAGGAAAAAGCAGCTCTCACCCGTCTCTGCTGCCGTCTTCCGCCACACGAAGACAGAACCACAACGCCACCTCAGTCCCCCCTTGGCCTGCCGGGCTCTAGGAAGGCGTCTGTCTCCCCAGGGCAGACCCCTCCCAACCCTGTCCGGCAGGCTCAACCTCCGACATGCCCGCCCTGCCGCCCACCCGGCATGGCCTGCCCACCAGCAGGCATGGCGCTCTGGCCTTTGGCCCTTGCGAGCCCCCAGAACAGACAGGTCCAAGGCTGAGGGGCCTGGGCGGAGCGGGCACATGCAGGCGTGTGGTCCTGGTCCCAGCCAGACAGGGCGTGGGCTCTGGGGCGGGGCAGGGCCCTTGGCCTGTCCTCAGGGAGTCCCACAGAGCGTGCAGACCAGCCGGCTGCCCTTGGAGAGCTCCAGCTCCCTGCCAGTCCCTGGCTGGCGGCTGAGACACCATCACACCTTGTGAAGACCTCACCGCCACCCCTGCAGGGAGGGTGCCGACGCTCCTCCCAGAACCTCAGGAACTCACCCACGGCAGCTCCGTCAGGGAGACCCCTGCCCCCCAGGGATCCCCTGGAGAGGCAGTCAACTGGGCTGGCTCTCCACAGAGGGGCAGGACCCGGCCGCTCCACAGGGACTGCCCTCCCCACACCCCCCACCGACCACACAGGGGCCGCGCCTCACCCAGGCGGAGCTCCCCGAAGTTCCCACAGCCGATCTTCTTGCCGACACGGAAGTTGGGGCCCACCATCAGGACCCCCGAGCTGGCCCCTGAGCCGCGGACGCTGTGGCTGCCCCGGCTCCCGCCGGCCTTGGACATCCTCCGGCCCTCTTCCGACTCCCCTTTCCCTCCTCTTTTGTCAAAATCCATCAGTTTGTGGTACCCTGGCCTCTCCACGGTTACTCTGCCGTACAAATCCCAAACTTGCGGAAACCTGCGGACAGGCGCTCGGCGGTGGCTAGCACACCATCACAGCCCGCAGCGGGCAGGCGGGCGGGCCCCACGGCCCAGCTAGTGTGACGGGGGGGCTCGCCAGGGCCCGGCCGCGGCGCTCATCCTGGTGGCCTTGGGGTCGCACTCAGGGGGTGAAGGCATTCTGCTGGCAGGTCCCGTCGCCCTAAGTCTCGTGGCTCCCAGCTGTGGGCAAACAGACAAAGATTAGTGTGGGCCACAGGCCAGGGACCCCACGGTGCAGTCAGCAGGGAGAGAGCAACGCTAGGACGCCGCCTGGGCCACACGGGGCGCAGGAGCCGCCTCTGATGGGCTGCAAGGCCAGCTGGGCAGGTAGACCTGCCTCAGGCCAACACCACGTGGAGCAAGCAGTGGCCGGCATTCTGGGAAGAGCTTTGGATACGTGAACGTGACACATGGTACCTTCACCCAGAAGACTACTCTGGGGCCCTCCTGGGGCAAGGGGCACAGCTGCACGGGCGCACCTACTTTAGACAACATTGCTGCTCATGCTCAAGGGGCCGTGGGGATGGACCCACAGGGTGCCCCTAGCGTGGGCTCGGGTGTCATGGTGCAGAAGGGCCCCATGCTGGGAGAGGCCAGGGGCATCCTGAGACTGGGAGGCAGGGAGCTGCAGCCAGGCCCTCAGCTAAAAGGCCTCATGCAGACCCAGGCACACACCAGCCATCCCCCAGCCTGCACGGGGCCAATCCCAGGGTCCACATCTGTGGGAAGGACACACGCTGTAGGAGCGTGCTGTGGGCGCAGTGTGCCTGGAGAGCGAGAGGTCGGGGGCTCAGTGCCTGGGTCCTGGCGAAGGGTGGCAGGTGGACAGCTTGCTCTCAGCCCAACCAGAGAACCAGGTCAGGCCCAGAGAGGGCACCATGACAGCCCCAGATCACTCTGAGGTCTCTGTGTCACTGTGCCCGCAGGGGTGGGCCAGGCTGTGAAGTGCATGGCCTCCAGGTGCAGAGACAGCCCCGCTGCAATGTGTCCCCTCCCCCAGGCACGTGCACAGAGTACAGTGGATGCCGGGACCCCGAAAGGACCCCCAGGCCTAAGTGCCTCCCTGCTTACAGCTCACACATACAGGGGATGTACCCACCTGCCCCGTGGGGTCCTCCTGGATGGTGCCTGCTGGGAATGGGATGGCTCACAGGTCAGGGGGCACATTACCACCCTCAGAGCATCCTGAGAGGGCCCCCCACCCCGTGTGCGAGAACACCTATCACTGTCCTCAGCAGAGACCCCGCCCAGCCGCTGGTCACTTAGCGGACGAACACAAGAGGCTCTGGCATTTCTGCTGCCTCGGTTTACACCTCCAGGCAGAAAAGCCCACGGACCACTGCTCGGCGGAAACGGCGATGCAGTGCGCCCCAGCCACTCCCCGCGGGAACGCGGCTCGCCCCAGACGCTTCCCGCGGGAACGCGGCTCACGAGCATCGTCCACGGCACTGCCTGTGCGCCGGCTGAGCCCTCGTCCCACATCCGCACTGTCTGCTGTGCCGGGCAGCTCCTGGCCACTCCCTGCTGGGTGGCCGCGTGAAGGGTGGCCTCACCCGCCCGTGAACACACCTGTTGGGCTGGGCCCAGCAGACTCCGACCACAAGGCCCCTGAGCCCCCACCAGGGAGGGACGCAGCCCAGCCTTGTGTCACAGCACGAGACGGAACTTCATCTCTCTGCGTGGCCGAGTTATACTCCATTGTGAGGCCGGGCCACAGCGTGTCTCCCCATCATCTGTCCACGGACACCTGGGACGTGTCCCCCTTTTGTTTCCTGCAGATTATGCTGCTGTGAACATGCCCATGCAGGCTTCCGTGTGGACGTGTTTTCGTTTCTCTCAGGTAGGTACCTAGGAGCGGAATTGCTGGCTGGCTCTGTTTAGCTTTTTAAGGAGCCGCCAGCCTGTCTCCCACAGCGGCCGCCCCATGTCACACTCCCACCAGCCATGCACGTGGGTCTGATTTTCCCGCCAGCACTTGTGATCGTTCATCTTTTTCGTGTAGCTGCCCTTGAGGGTGAGGTGGTGACTCCCTGAGGCCTCCGTGTTCTCCGTTCGGTGGGCAGGGCCCACTCCCCGGCACGGGCTGCACCGAGAGGCAGCTCCTGCTGTGCGCTGGGCGGGGGAGTGACAGAGGCCCCGGGCAGCCTCGCACCACCCAGCGACCACCTGCCCAGTGACCACCCACTGGTTTCTAAAGGAAATGACTCCCCTACTGCTCAAGTTCCAGGAACAACAGACGCTGTGACCGGCTTTCCCCAAACAGACCCGCCCTGACTTTCCTTCCTTCGCGCGTGGCTGGTGGGAGGACCTCTTCCCCTGACGGTGAGCTCCAGAAAAGCAGCCGATTAGACCAAGGCCTCTCTGTGTGTCTGTCTCTCTCCCTCCCGTCCTCACTGGGGCCTGGCTCAGGGCTGTGCGGTCAGGGGGGACAGACGACATGCGGAGCCGTGGGACCAGCGGGGACAGCAGCCCTGGGATTCCTGCTTCCAGGCCTCACGGGGCCAGCAGCCCTGGGGTCCCGAGCGGCGCCGGGCCCAACTAGCAGTGTCTTCTGGATCTGGACTGGGGAGGCAGCCAACCACACGGGGAGGCCGCTTGTCCCAAAGCTGCTGCCTGTGTCTTGTCTGTGCACACCCACTCCTCGGTCCCAGACTCAGAGCAGGGGGCCCGGGGCCTGTGCCCGCCCCAGCCGGGCACCCTCTGTACCAGGTGTAGCCGGCACCACCACAGTGAGGGGAACTGGCACAGGCAGGCGTGCAGCTCCAACGCGGCCGGGTCTGGCTGGAGACAGCAGCAGTGGTGCCGAGTGTTTGCTGAGCACCTGACTGTCACCCCCCCACAGCCTCAGGAAAGGCATCCTCCTCAAGTCCACAGGGACGCTGAGGCCCAGCCCTGTGTCCCAGGCCCCACTGAGGCCCGTCTTTCCTCTGTCTGTCTGCCTGCCCCGCAACCCGGGCCCTGCTGAGGCCTGTGTCCCTCTGTCTGCGCTGCCCGCTCTGCGTCCCGGGCCCCAGTGATGCCCGTCTCCCTGTCTGTCTGCCCACACTGTATCCCCGGGCCCCGCTCAGGCCCGTCTCACTCTGTCTGTTTGCCCACCCTGCATCCGGGGCCTCACGTGGGAGGGAGGAGAGAACCTGACCAATTAGAGGAGGTCAGCGGGGGGCTGAGACAGCCCTGCAGTAGGGACACGCCAGGACCGGGGACAGACGTGCTTCACCGGCCGGGCCACTCAACAGGTACCGGACCCCTCAGGGACGCCCTGCGGCCTCCCCAGGCTCCTGCTGCAACACGAGGGCTTGGCAGATGCTTCCGGAAGGCGGCCAGCTCGGGCACACACACACCGAGGGCCAGGCATCACCCGGGGACCAGGGACAGTGAGCTCTCCCGGACCGCGCTGCCCCCACCGAGGGGTGTCCCCAGGAGGTGAGGGGGGCGTGAAGAGAGCAAGCCACACGTGGGACAGCAGGGAACTGGAAAGACACTGACCCCTCCAGGTTGTGACCAGTGCCCACCGAGCGGCAGAGGCCTGCGGTCACCCCCCTGCCCACACACCTGCATGGTCAGCCCAGACGCCGGGGGGAACTGAGGTGGGGGCAAGCTGCAGGAGGGGACTGCCACCCTCGCACCCACTGGAGCTCCCCAGCCCCACCCCCGACGCCAGCAGGCCGCTTGGTCATGGGTGACGCTGACCCAGGGGCCCGCCCCCTGCCCCATAGCAGCAGGTTACCTGCCGTGTCCTCCTGGGGACCCTCCATCTTGTCAGGCCCAGGGCCAGCCCCCCCCAGTGGGGGACCCGGCCCCTTCTCTGCCGTCCCCACCCAGTGACGTCACAGTTCCTGCGCTGACATCACCAGCAGCAGCCCCAGGCCAGGGCTGGGGTGCAGGGGGCGGGGGGTGGAGACAGAGCTACGGCCTGTAGCAGGCCTTACAGTGCCCAGGACCCCGTGCCAGGAGGGCCTGGGGGTGGGGCGCAGTCACGGACTCGCGCGTAGACCGTCAGTGGCACCGCAGACACGTGCGAGGATGCCCTGTGTAAGCAGAGCCCGTAGGAGACCAAGGCGCCTGCCGTGCACAGAACACGCGACACCCACGACAGAACTCGCGACAGACAATAGTCTCCGTGCCAGGACAGTGACGGCTCCGCCACCTTGGCCTCAGGGTCACTCGTCAGGGAGGGATGGGTGGGCACCTGACCCGGGCACGGGCCGGGGGTCTCAGCACAGCTCGGAACGGGAGCCACCAACCTGCTGTCCAACACGGAGCCCAACACTCAAGCCTCCGTGGCCGACCCTGGAGAGGGGACCCTTTCCACAGGGACCCCTTCCCCCCACAGCAGCAGCCAGAACCCGAGAAGGCCCGGAGCTCCCAGGCCACAGGCGACAACAGCCCCATTTCTGCACCCCACCCCGTGGTGGGCTCTGGAATGGGGTCACACCCACGGGTCTCCCACATGATCTGCCACCCTCCCCCTCCCCACGACGCGGCCCCACACACAAGGAGGGCAGGGGCGCCTCAGGACCTCTGCATGTGCTATTCCGGGTTCTGGGGGGCGCTTCACTCCCACGGCTGCAGACGTCTCCAGGTGAGCGCCCCCTGCCCAGCCCTTGCCCCCCGCACCATCTGACACGTGTGTACATGCACGGTACGCGTGCTGTCTGCAAGAGCCCCACGGAGAGGGACCAAGTGCTGTGCACAAACCCTCGTGCAAACCACCGACACACGACCGTCGTGCAGAGAGCGGACGGCGCCGCAGAGAGCAGAGAACCACAACCGGCCCCCGGGGAGGGCGCGACTCCAACCGCTCCAACACGGGCAGGCCCGCTACGGCGCACGCCGCCCCACGCTCCCCAGCGTCAGAGAGTTTAGATACGCCGTTGTTGTTGCTGTACCGTCCAGTCGGTTCTGACTCACGGCGACTCACGTGACGGAGCAGAATTGCCCCGCAGGGCTTCCCAGGCTGTCACCTCTACGCGAGCGGATCACCAGCTGTTTCTCCCGCGGAGCCGCTGGGTGGGTTCAAAAGGCCAGCCTTTCAGTTAGCGGCTGAGCACTTAACCACTGCGCCACCAGGGCTCCTTTAAATGTGTACATGTGTGCACGCACGCATGCATCTGGTACTGGCAAGGGCAAGGGGAGGCCCTTGGTGGGAAGGGACCCTCCTGGAGGCTTTCTGGCAAGCTCTGTTCTGAGCACACAGCCCCCCTGAAGACGTCCCCTGTGCTAACCTATGAGGAAGCCTGCCAGGACGGGGGTTCCACCCCCTCTGGTG